GAGAAAATCCTGATTCCGCTGGATACGTGCCGCGTAAATTCCCATCTCGAAATCATGTAGACTCGGGTCGGGTTTAAGTCCCTCGACGTCCTCAAGGCACTTTTCCGCCCGGAGGAGATGCGGTAAACTTATCAGCGCAGGGAAACCATGCTGGCAGTCACTGATATCGAAAATTGCTATCGGCCAACCACGTGGCTGTAGACATCTAGAATACATGAGAACGAAGCTGTGAACGCTCTTGCCGGACTGGGGAGGGACAATATTGAAGTTCTGGCGCACACTCCTGAAAATCAATGAGTATCAGCAATTCTCAAAACTTCCGCGGAGAGCCGTGATCCGTCATTCTCACCGATCGAACTCAGCGTCGCCTGTCGGTGAGAATATGTCGTCTCGAGTGTTGAACTTCGCCAACACTACTCCATACGGTCGACTCGATCCGTTGAAGTGTAGCGTCCATGGCCGGCAGAACATAGGTTGGAAAACATGAATTTCTGCGGGCGGAGCGGACAGATCGAAAGCCGGGAAAAGTTCACCGTCTGAGAAGGAGAATCGCCCGATGAGATTCTATGGAGCGTTCAAACAAGGCAAATTCGCCCGCTTCTACGAAAAAGGCCTCAAGATGATTCTCACTTTCGCCGTAGAGCTTATTGAAGGGTTCAGCGTAGTGAGGAATGTAGCTGAGGGAGAGGAGGACTCATTAGATATTCAGAATCCACTTTCGCTGTCACAATGCTCAAGGAAGAATGAGGCAAGTGTCTCGAGTGCTACTCACTCTTAGCCCATCACCCGAAAAGCCTCGTTCCGCTGTCTGAGCGTGTTGGCGTCGCCGGAGTACACTGTCACGCTCCCATCATCACTGTTATTCAAAGCTCTTAGATATCCTATTTTCCTATCGATTACGGGAAGATCTTTTTTGAAAAGATGCGCGAACTTTGCGAGCGGGTCGGAGTACCTGAGGAGGGTAGACACTTCGGTGAGACTCAATTGTCCCCTTGATGGAATCACGGAATCGGCGACGAATCTTTTTCCCCCTGTTCGCTCACCCCGAATATAGTATCTCGTCGATGGTGCGCTCGAATAGCATACTCCGCGACTCTGTGAGCGGTCTCAGTAACGCCTGCAAGCACGCTGGCAATGTGTCGATCACCGACGAGGCGACGGTATAGACCGGGTCAACTGTGTGCACCCGATCAGTGAGTTGCCCAGTAGACAGCTCCGGCTCGAACATGAAGATGCGCCTCTCCTTGTAGCTCAGTGAGCCGTCGGCTGCCCACGACATTTCTTTCCGCAGGGTCAGACTGGGAGAAATTCATCATGTAATGTATGGAACACGGAAATGGAACACGTCTTAGGCAAAGCGTGACTCATATTGAAAAACCATTTTAGCTATCGTCGTAGAAGAATGACAACACCGGAGGTTGGACTCACTTGAACGTATACGGACCAAGCTGCTCGAAACGGGGCTTGGCGCCGGAAAGGAATTCCTTTCGATTCGTGATATTGAATACGTAAACATTCTGTCGCACGTCGGACGGTATCGTCCCGTACAATCGCGCTGCTAAACTCCCCTCGGTCAGAGCTCTAGTTCTGAGAAGCTCATACTTCAGCAGTGAGCTCCACAGCAGGAATACAGAGAGAGAGAACGAGAAAATTGTGAAGACGCAGACTCTCAAGCCTAGAAGAGAGATGAGTGTCACGGACGGAGGTATCCGTCGCGTCACCGTTTACAGGGAACACACACTCCGACCACTCAGTACACCATACAATCAGCACATAACATTCACAGAGAGATCGAGTCGGGTTCGAGTAACAGTGATTCTCATAGAATTGTTAATATCGCGGATAATCATCGATTCATGTCCAGGACAAGCAGTCCCATTCATATTATATTTATGAACGTCAATATATAAGCACTGGGGAGTGCACGCGCGTTGCTACGTCTACCAGCGCAGCGCTGGCTTCTCCAACGTTGAGCATCAGCTGCCTCGCGTCAGCTGTTTTCTCAATCAGCCGGACGAGAGCTGAGAGGTGTAGAGAACACTGCGGTGGTCTCATTGGCGACAACGGCAGAAACGGCGGCTGATCATCGTCAGTTATCAAGATAACGGAGCAGCCTCAGCGCTCCTCGAGAACTACAGTGTCCGGGTTCAAAATCCCGAGAGTATTCATTCAAAACCAGCGGCGATCGGAAGTTCAATCCCTCCTACGTCATCGTCTCATCATCTCCAGGAGATTCCCATCCAGCTGGATATCTCCAGACGACTGAATAGTTTAGCGCAGCGCACCCCACGTGAATTCTACAAGTTCAATTCTTGTGTGTTCATTCTCCATCGAGGCTCAGAACCTCAACTAGTGAAGTGCGCTTGCCACAATGAGACTAGAAGGATTTCCCTAATTTTCCACGACGAATAATTGACTCGGGCTGAGTGCCTGAATCTTCAGCCTCGATCTCGTTCGAGGCGAGAGTCTTATTTTCCTCCGAAGGGCTCCACTCATATTGGAATCGCGTGAAGATCTGCTCGAGATACTCCAGACGGGATGACACGCTACCAGGAGAAAAACGCGATTCAATGCAAGCGGAACAGACACGAAAAACAAATCATAATAGTGGGGTTTTCCTCTTCCCGTAGGGGCATGTCGACCAGATGATGCGCAGAGAAGAATCTAGCCGTCTGCCTGCGTTGCCAGAGCCGCCGAAACATAAACAATCAATCCGACAACATCGCGTTACGGATCGACTCCTGAACTATTGTCAATCTCCATGACAACTCGACATTGTTCCATGGAATTCCGACATTCCCCAGGCCGATCGCATGCGGATTATTCAGACGCGTGGAAACGCAGGAAACGTCTTGACGTTTTTCTTTGAGCAGGCAAATGGTCTAGCAAACCAAGCAGATCCTCCGAAGATTCAGTCGAAAGAGATCCGGCTCCGGAACAGGACAGGGAGCGTCTCAGAAAGAAGTTGAGCGATCGACGCACGCTTTTCACGCGGAGCAGCGCAAGGTCTGCGTCGAGTCGTGGAGAAAGCCCCGGAGCGCGAAAGCTAAGCTTCTGCTGCGCTGTCGCGTCGTTCACGATTTCTCCTCAAGGCTGTCCCTTGCAATTAGCGGGAAAGCACCAGAATGGCCAAAGTCGTCGAAGCGCTTTGATAAGAATCACCGTACAGTTTCAGTACACCTTGAACTTCTTTAGCTCATATCGTTCTTAGCAAAGAAAATGGCTCAGGAGAGGATCCCCACGGTGTCCGCTCAGCCGCTCAACGTGGGATCCGCTCACGCCAGTGGTGACCACAACCATCACTGCTTCAACCAGACGAGCATTATCCGCTCGAAGTCCCATCTGAAGTCTGTTATATAAACTCACCGATTCGGAAAACGCACGATCGAGCCTTCGCGGATGCTTCGGTTCCGCAGGTGTGGCTTCTCAAAGACCGATATAACCGACCACAGATCGCAGAGGTCTCTATTTCTTCTCCCCTTCTTCAATGGCACAAGAAAATCCTGTGGTGGGATCACGTTGTGATCAGACACGGCGGGAGCGTCATCGTTGGGCGCCAACTACGGTCCTTCTCTCATGCTCACGTCGTCGACACAAAGTTCAACTTTCCTCTCGACACCGAAACAATCTCAGGACGCACAGACGCCACCTCATTTTGGGGCGGCGATCTCGCGGGGATCTTCGTCGTCGATTGGTGATCGCGGGATAACCGACGGGTGGTCGAGTGGTTAGCGCGTTTGTCACTTCTCGTGCAAACGTGCATAGCCGCAACGACGCCGCTCGCGCGGGAGGCGGTGTGGGTTCGATCCCTGCTGCCGGAAAAATATGCAGGTACTCGGCCTTGATCCTCCTGGGTACATTTGCTCTATGGATCCGTCCTCGGAAGCAATGTGAATAACAGTACCCGGGACGTTAAACCTTGGCTGTGTGGATCAGCCCGAAAAAGTTGACAACAGCACTACAACCAATTTCAAATTCCCCCCGAACCAAACAATAATAATACGTGGGAGTGATTTTTTTAAGGAGTTCCGCGGAACCCATTATACACTCGAGAAAGATCGAATCCCGAAATAAACAATATTATACCATATTGATATCGAGGAAATTCGCCTTTCTTTTTAATAATTGTTCTGGAGCGCGGTATCTGTCGAACGGTTCGAAACGGAAGGGCTGCTGACGATAATAGGAGATTGAGCTCCGAAACGGGAGAAAACTATCAATGAGACTCCATACATCCGAGACTCGAGATTTTATTTGATCGACTGGGAGACTACTGCCCAGAGCTGGGGATAGCTGCTGCTGCGAGTGCGATTCGTGGCGAGATCATTCGATTCCGACTCGGGAACATCGGGGGACGGAGTTTCAGTCTTCTTCTCTCTCGTAGGCACTCTTCCAGATGTCCGCGAAGCAGACCGCCGAATGGAACCTTCAAGCGAACACCTTCATCGTTTAGTTCCCTCGTCCGATCCGGCGAGGAGGAGTTGAGGGAGAGAAAATAGGCTCGGAGCTCACGAGGTCTGGAGGATCCAGGAATCGAGTCCCGAACTATCGTACCTACCTGTAAAATAGCATCAGGGGCACAGTTGAGAGGGATTTCGTAACGGAGTTATACCTCAACTATGATTGTGATCTGTACTGCTCGAATCTGTTCGAGGATTTGACGAAAACACTGTCGAAAACTGCCTTCCCTGTCACGGCTATCTACAGTAAGCTCCTGTCCCGAACGATCGTTGCGTCTTTGATCTCACACCACGGTCAACATTACTCGGATGATGAATTTCAACTTAAAACCAAAGCGTCTTCCAGGTATCCATCATCTGTCCTTGGAGGCCCTTCTAGCAGTTATCGATTCAGTCGAGACCCACTGCCACTTCATGATGGTGTCGTCCAAGGAAGACAAGGCTACTTCGGAAAAACCGGCGGCAACGAAGGGGAAGCTCCGCGACCCGTAGCAGTGTCTGGAACGCAGCTGGCTGCCGTCGTGAACAGCTGTCAAGGGAATGAGACATCCGAGGAGACCTACAGAGACGTTCAAGAGCTCGCTCATATTCCGACCCACAACGAAATCGCCGTCATCAGACACAAGAAGCGATTGCTACCAGGGCACCGAGCTATTCAATCAAAAACCCGCGAGCGGTATCGACTTTTTGATGGAGAACGGAATCCTCCCGAAGCCGTTCTGTGCCGAGAAAGTAGCGGAGTTCTTGAGGACCAATTACCAGTTGGACAAAAACAAACTCGGAGAATATATTTCGAATCGGAAAAACACGGAACCACTGCGAGCCTTCGTCATGTCATTCGCTTTCGCCAACACCCGTATCGACGAAGCTCTGAGAATGTACCTCGAATCGTTCCGGCTGCCAGGCGAGGCCCTCCCGATCTCTTTAGTCTTGGAACAGTTCGCCGAACATTGGCATGTGAGTGAAAACCGTCGGTATGCAGATGCCTTCCGGAAACTGCCTCCAGCTGTCGGCAAGCGAGCTGACCGGAGCTATTTTTGCAGACGAGTAACAATCAACCTTTCGCCTCGGCTGATGCCACATTCACGCTGGCATACGCCATCATCATGTTGAACGTTGACCAACACAATCGTGTTGTGAAGAAACAATCGAACTCGATGAAGGAAGAAGATTTCATAAAAAATCTCAAAGGTTTGTGTATTTTCCTCTCGGCATGCGTAGATTGTGAGCTTCTCGATGAAGGATGCTTACTCTCTGGTGGGTTCTCCGTTTCTCAAAGATGGTCTTCTGCATGCAGGTACTGTCGCGATGCTCCTTTCAAATCTGGGGAAAAGCTCCCGTTCCCAGCTAGATCTAGACAGATTCGATTTTTCGGAGCTGTATTATTCTGGACTAGGTAGTTCGTTCTGACGGTTCCGGAGCTGTCGAACACGACATCGAGAACCGGCTGATTCCCACGGGAGGGATCCTCGTCGGTATGGGAATCAATTCCTCCCGAGGACCTTTCACCGGTCCGTTTCCCGTTGGGGCTATTGTCGGTGCTCGTGTCGCTCACGATACGTGTGTCCTGCGGTATCGAGAATGGAGCCGCGCTAAATATACGGCTTTCGCGAAAGCTATCCTCATAACCGGAAGGCATAGTAGAACGTGGCTCGCTGTCCGGACCTGTTCCAAATTCGAGACCATTTCGCTTCCAGGTGTTAACGGCGGTTCCGACTTTGAGGAACAACTCCTATCGGACATTTATCACTCAATCAAAAACGAAGAGATCATCATGCCAGCTGAACAAACTGGTCTGGTGAAAGAGAACTATTTGTGGAAGGCCCTCTTGAAGCTTTCCTCTCGACACCTAAACAATCTCAGGACGCACAGACGCCACCTCAAATTGGGGTGGCGATCTCGCGGGGATCTTCGTCGTCGATTGGTGATCGCGGGATAACCGACGGGTGGTCAAGTGGTTAGCGCGTTTGTCACTACTCGTGCAAACGTGCATAGCCGCAACGACGCCGCTCGCGCGGGAGGCGGTTTGGGTTCGATCCCTGCTGCCGGAAAAATATGCAGGTACCAGATCCAGAGCCGACGCCGAACACAGAAATTTGCACCTCGGCCTAGGACACTGCACTATTACGCAGGCAGTCGACGGGGGAGCGAGCTGAACGATTGGTCGATCACAAACCGAAGGTCTTTGGCGACAACTGCGCCGACAACGGGATTCTGCTACCGGCCGGCGGAGGTTCAGCGAAAAAACTAAAATGGGATGATGCGAATATCGAAGAGTCGAATTCACGCTCCCGCAACACACGCAATCGGCGTCGCTGGATCCACGCCCGATTGCGGTTTGATTCTGTCCCGGTAGCATCCCGAAGTGCAATTCGATTAGGAGATGACAGTAATTATGATCAGTCTTATACTTATGGAGTTATTATTATCAAAAGGAGAGGGCTCTATTTGAAGAAATGGTCGCATGGGATCCTCCTTCCATCACGCAACTTTCCGGTGGTAGTGGAGTGAGGTCGCGAAACATCCCCAAATGCAGCAATAACGGGCAGTCTCACGATGGCGCCGCGATCGCCATCAGACTCGAATCGCCTCGAATGAAGAACATGAGTTTGGCTCCACGACGTACGCAGCAAGAAACTCAATCTGAAACCTGTCCTCCATCGAGACTACGAGAAAATCACCAGTCGATTCGCGGAATGGCGTCTTCTCGCTGCCGATTTCCGTCTCCGACCGGGGAGTTTCGACGACTACTTCGATTACATTCTACAATTATTAGATCTCGTGATCGAGAGGAGATTCTCGTACCATTTTCATCGTTTCGTCATCTCGATGTGTATCGACACCGCATTGACTGCGCTCTCTTGTTGGCTGCCGCTGACTTCCCCGAAAAAGTTCGCTCTGCCGCTGATCGGACTCTTGCTCATGACGTACACGATCAATTATTACTCAATCATGTTGCGTTCTTCTCCTACAACTCCCCTCGTTCTGAAGTTCGCATCTCATCTTTTTTACGGCTTCCATTATTTTCATCGCGGTCCTTATCATAATTCTCGAGGAGAGCAAAACGATAGAGCTCTCCTCACACCCTCTCTTGGATCGCCTCTTGGAATCCGTCCAGAGCTATTTACTGAGTGAAGAAGCCTTGATTTGCGATGCCACCGAGGAGGCCGAGGTGCAAATTCCTCCGGCTGGGCAGAGTCTGGAGGACCTACCCGTGGTCGAGGAAAGGTTCGAGGCCACTCGGACCTGGTTGCTGACGGTTCTGCAGCGAGGATCCTCTGTGCTGTTCCTATCTCTGTACCTTGTGGTGTATTATCAATGATCTTCTCGCCTCCACCACAAATCCAATACACAGCTTTGCCGACGACAGTACACTTCATGCTGGTTACTCTTTCACGAAGCAGCCGACCTCTACTCAAACAAGTTCCTCTCGAAGCACCTTGCTCTCCTCCATCGATTGTGATCTCCGGAAGATTCTGCAATGGGGCTCAACTAATTTGGTCCGGTTCAATTCCCTGAAGACGCAGCTTACCCTTTCCACGAAGAAAACCAAGCCCTTTAGTCCTACCATCTCTTTCGACAGCGAAACGCTACTTCCTTCATCGAATATCTCTATTTTAGGCGTGCGCCTTCCATCAAACCTTAAATGGCACCATCACATAGCAAACATGGCCAAGTCAGCTTCCCAAAAACTAGGATTCCTCTTGAGCCAAACGTTATTTTTCTCCATCTCACCTCCTTTCGCTCTATAAAACCCAAATCCGTCCCTCTCTTGAGTACTGCTCGCATATCTGGGGTGAAGCCGCTCCTTCATCCCTCTCTATCCTGGACTCTATTCAAAAACGTGCTATCCGTCTCATCGGTGATTCAGCCATATCCTCTTCTCTTGAATCTTTATCCTCACGTCGTAACGTTACCGACCTCTGCCTATTTTATCGTTACTTCCATGGAGAATGCTCAGAAGAAATCTCTTCCCTCGTTCCCCCCATTTTGGTCCCCGCCAGTGTAACCAGAGAGAGTAGGACCAACCGGCATCCCTACTCTGTCCAATTTTCCTCCGATCGTACTGCTCAATTCGCCTCCACTTTTTTCCCCGGCACATCCCGTCTATGGAATGCCCTTCCTCCTCATGTCTTCCCTCCAACGTACGATCCGAAACTCTTCAAATCCAACACTATCCGCTCTCTCCCTTCAGGTAAAGAGCCATAGGTTTTTTAGTGGGTATTATGTACATGAGCCCCACACTCCAGTTGAATTTTCCACTCTTCTGGGTAGTGCGTCAATGCATTTTTTCCTATGGCTCTTTCACCTTTTCCTCCTACCTTACCCTCAGTCTCCCTCCCCCTTTTCGCACTCGCAGTCCCTTTTGAGAATTATAGGGTCACCCCTTTGCGAGCTGCTTCACCAAAAAAAAAATGTCACGATAGGTAGCGACGACTAGAGCTTCGCTGAGAGCATGAACATTTCTGTCACCAACGCTCGAACATCGTGGATCAATGACAGCGGGAAACAATAAAGAAAGTAATCTATCATCATCGTCCATACGGCTGAACGCCTCGTCTTCATTCACAAAAAAAGTCACTCCGCTCCTTGAGAGGACAGAAAAAAGTCCGTCCAACGTCGTTCAGAGACCCAATTTCCTCGTTAACCACGGAATTTTTTCCTCGCAATGATCATATCGAAGCCAGTCTGAGGCCTAAAGACTCTAGAAGGGATCCAACAACGAACGTTCCAGGGGGCAAACCCGATGTTTATTCGAACCTAAGGTCAGGAAGAAATCCCATTTTAGGAACGATGCCTCGGCTACTTTTCGGGGTCGGGGCCTGTGTCCGAGTCTTCCGGCTCGACATCTACTTCGTCCTCGCCTAGAGGTTGCTCCTGATTAGGGATCAATGGCGCCGAGTCGTCTCCCTGGAATTTGACGAGTACTCAGTACTGAATCCTTGTGATCTAATGGGTGAGTTCAATCATTGAGCGATGTTCATGAATCGAGGATGTCATGAGTCATGACTTTCCGCGACGGCTGAGCGGAGCCACATACTTTCGAGTTCCATTGTTCTGTGCCTCAGAATAATGGTTAAATTTCGAAGGCTTCGTCGTCTCTTTAGTCGCATCAGTCGCTCAAGAAACTTAAATGCTTCATGTCTGCTCTTGGCGGGATCTCAGGCAGTCACGGTCAACAATGTCGGCACGACTTTCAGAGCTCGTCGATGAGGAAGGGGAACGTTTTCTCGAGAGGTGACTCCTCACATGTCGAATACAAGGACGAGCAGTTCATCCCGTAAGTTCCCTTGAGAACTCCTTCCATGTAGCTTCCTCGGAAGGTTCCGAAAGTTTTGAAAATATAGCGGGGGGGAGTCGTGAGCGTTGCCGCGTCACGACTACCCCCCGCTGCAGCTGAGGACGCCTCCTCAGCCCTGGCTGCCCTCCTAGCGGCCGCCGACGCCGAACCCAGCGTGCTCGACACGCTGTCGAGAGGTGCCCCACCTGCCCGCACGACAGGCACGTCTCGAAAGCTGCCCTCGGGCAGCAGCGGGCGTAGTGCCCCACCAGCCGGCACATGGAGCACCGTGCCTCCCGCGCCTTGCACCGCACTGAACCGGCGGAGTGGGTGTTACACCCACACCCCGCGCAGAACCTTCGATCTGCCACTTTCCCCGTAACCTTTTTTTTCTTCTCTCACTGCAAGTTCGGTGATCACTCCGTGTCCGATTCACCACTTGTTTGTTCACTGTTCTCACTTTGTCCTTCTGTCCGATCTACTTTGTCCGCTACACTTAGTTCAATCCACTTGGAAACACTCAACCGCTTCGTCCAGAGTCTGCTACGAAAAGACTTCACGATCGCGTCGGCGCTCTCGTCTCGAACGGAATCCCCTTTCCCTCCAACCGATGTGCTCGGCGACATTTTCCTCGACATTGCTGAACATTCTCGACGACGCGACATCCTCCGATATCTCAAGCCGAACATTTGACGAAATCTCAAACCGCGCACAAGACTGACATTCTATACCATCCGTTCCGACTCCATCTCGTAGTCTCTCATTCCCTCCGTCCGCGCTCTACATTTGTTTCTCTCCTCCCTACGCTCGACCACGCTACACTACTGGCGTCCCCGCCAGCTACTTCGAATAAGTATCCCTGAACGACTTCGCTCTCCTAGAACGTCTAGGTGGCGGGTTTCCCCTTCCTAATCCCGCTCCCGGGGACTCCATTATAGCCGTATTCAAATCTTTCGGTGACCCCCGCTGTTCCGGGTCCAGATACATCGCTGGATCTACGTGAATTTGAATTTCCCCTGATGATGCTGACGACGAAGAAGTATCCACACTCTCGGCCAACTTCTGGGGCCGGATAGAGCTTTCTCTCACTCGCGTAGATTCTCCAATTTCCTCGGGCTTGTCTACTTTTCCGAACGACGCTTCCTCTTCCTGTTGCTCGGAATCCGTTCCGAATCTCAGCTCCGTCGTCTCCAGAATCTCGTCTAGTGTTTCGAGTGTCTCCGCTTCGCGTGTCTCTCGGACAGATTCATTGTCCCTTGCGGCGGTATCAGGTTCCGCAGCGTCTTCGTTGAACGGAAGCTCCGTCTCGCTGCGCTCTGGCTCACTCGGAACGACTTCTTGACGCTCCCCCAGCTGATTTTCTGGAATCTCGGAAAACGGCATCGCGTTATCTGCTTTCTCGTTATGCACTCGATACCATCTCAATTGGGAACAGAGTGCAGTACAGGTATAATGTTTTCCCCTAGCTGAACTAGTCTATAAGTATCCCTGGGCAAGACTTCGGTTATGAGTTATGACTAAAGGACCCCTGTATTTCGGCTGTAGTTTCGTTGGCAGCCCGGTGTGAATTGGCAAACGGCTCACAGCCACCACATCCCCTACTGAAAAGCGGAGGTAATGCGGTCTCCTCTTCTGGTCGTAGTAGTACGCGTATCGGTCCTGACTCTCCTCCAACTTCTTGATGATTTCTTCCTGTAGTTCTTTCGCTGGTCGCCAGACTTGCTCCTGCGCTTCTTCGATCTCCTGTGAGTGATTGTTCAGTCGCGGCAGATACCCGTGCAGTACTTCAAAAGGTGATTCCCCCGTGCTTCTTGAAGTCACCCTGTTGAGCATCATCATTGCTCTGGGGACATGCCTTGACCAATCCTTTCCAAGCTCGTCTTCACACAGGGAGCGGAGTAGCCTTGCTACCTCCTTGTTCAACCGCTCGCCTTGCCCGTTGCTCTGCGGCCGCTGAGTGCTGATCAGCGTGTGCCGAATCCCATTCTGCTCCAAGAATTCCCTGAATGCATTCGACGTAAAAGCTGTTCCCCTATCGGATACTAGCTTTGCGGGCTTGCCGTACGTCATGAACATTTTCTGAAGGAACTTGATCACCGCTGGTGTCGAGGTTGTCCTAACCGCCTCCAACATAACGAATTTCGTGAGCCCATCCACCATCACGATCAGGTGCTGATTTCCAAACGACGCGGGTAATGGCCCCATATGATCGATAAACCTTCTCGAAGGGTCTCCTCTCGGGCCGGATCGGATTGCAGACTCCGTCCTGTTTCCCCGTCACCGTTTTGTTGAAAATACAATCTAGGCACGCTCGCAGATGGAATTTCACGTAAGCTCTCATCCGCGGAAACCAATATGCCCCTCGAATTAATTCCATAGTCTTCTCTATTCCGAAATGTCCTGCCTTCTCGTGGGCCATGACACATACGTATTTTCTCAGCAACTTTGGAACCACGAACAGTCGTCTTCCCTCGCGTATCTTGTAGAGAACTCCCCTGATCATGCCATAACCCTCGCATACGTCGTGCTCTCTCTTGCTACGCTCGTCCTTGGCTTTCCCCAATGCGGCCACTCGTTCCCTAATCTCTTCGTCGAGTGCCTGCGTCATTATGTATTCGCTGTTTGACTTCATACACTAAAGACTGTCTTCTGCTCGAGATCGGAGGGCGATTCTCTCTTCACCATCTCCTTTCCTTCTTCCCATGGTTGTCTGCTCAAAGCATCGCAAGCCCCATCGATGTGCCGGCTCGATGCTGAACCGTGAAGTTAAATTCCGAGAGTCTGTCCAGCCATCGGCTCAGCTGCGGAGTCCCCGCTGTTGATCGGAGCGCTGAAACGGCGCTGCAGTCCGAAACCACGACGAACTCCTGACCGAACAAGTAGTGTCGAAGCCTCTCTAGGCTCCAAACTACTGCCAGTTGCTCCAGCTTCGTTGAGTGATAGTTCTTCTCAGATTCGGACAATTTCCTGCTGATAGCATAGATCATTCGCCAGTTCCCCTCTTCGGCCTGCAAGAGCAATGCTCCGAGCCCCACCGCACT